TAGACGAAAATGAATATACTGTTTAATAAATAAATGGAGCATCTACTCAAATATAAATATCTACTAAAAATAACCTGTTAAAAAAAATCTGTTGGATTAATAAGTAAAAAATCCATATATATATATATATATATATATATATATATATATGTCAGAGTTAACCTGTAGAAAAATACAATATGTATAAAGGTAAAAGACAATAGAAATATTGTTTTTATTGTTGTGTTGATGGATTCAACTATTTTCTTTTGATTTCTTGATACAATTGCATCTATGAGCACAAAAGAGACCTCACAAAAAGCAATTAATGCATTAGTCATACATAGAAATAAATTCAACCACAATTTTGATTTTAAAAATGCTAAACTCATAAAAAAAAAGGAAAAACTCACTCAGAAGGAAAATCCTCAAGAGTGCTGCCATTGAATATTTTCAAAATATTAATCTATGCCCAGGCTTTTTCCCAATAATGCCTTTCCTAGCAGAATTACTTCTCTCCCTACATAGTACTTGACATAATTTTCAGTTGACAATATGAATACAATATCATTTTCTAAATTCTTCTACTTGCTAAGGACATTTTGTTTGTTGTTAATAGTTACTTTGTTCCTAATAAATTAATTTTGTTTTTGCTTAGAAAAAGTCCACATTGGATGAAACACATTGGCTAGTAATAGTTTCCCTATTGTGTTTTACCTTTATACACACACGTGTGTATATATATATATATATATATATATATATATTATTTGGATTATTGTCCTCATCTTTGGCGCCATATTTATTACAATGTTTTGGACGTTGTACACTCCGGCCTTCTTCAGGTGGTTGGTTGGTTGGTTGGAATGTGGAAGGACACATGGCACAGTGGATAAAGGTGTTAGTTAGATCCAGTGATAGGACCCAAAGAGTGTGAGTTCAATACCCAGTTAAGGCAGTGGAGAACTTTCAGAGGGGAAATAAACAGGAGATAACTGATAACTGACATCCATTAAACATAGCATGTGGAACTAGAACAGTCTACCCCAGTGACTGAAATAAAGGGTTCAGTTCAATATTCCAACCAGCTGAAGTAGGCCGGAGCGTACAACAGCTGAAATGTTGTAATAAATATGGTGACAAAGATGAGGCCAATAGTCTAAATAACGTACATAATACCTCTTCTCAGAAATATATATATATATTATATGTGTGTGTGTATATATATATATATATATATATATATATATATATATATATATATATATATAAATAATTATTTATATATTATATAAGTGGTACTTACTGCAAAAGCATGAAACTCAGGGCCACAAACTCACATCAATCCAACAAAATATATATATATATATATATATATATATATATATATATATATATATATATATATATACTATTGGAAATTATGTAAAAATTGAACAGAAGTCAGAGAATAAGAAAAACAAAAAAAATGACAATGACAGAGTAAGAAGTAAAATAAACTGGCTTGGACAATTTATTGTAAAATAAACTGGCTTGGACAATTTATTGTAAAATAAACTAGCTTGGACAATTTATTGTAAAATAAACTGGCTTGGACAATTTATTGTAAAATAAACTGGCTTGGACAATTTATTGTAAAATAAACTGGCTTGGACAATTTATTGTAAAATAAAACTGGCTTGGACAATTTATTGTAAAATAAACTGGCTTGGACAATTTATTGTAAAATAAACTGGCTTGGACAATTTATTGTAAAATAAACTGGCTTGGACAATTTATTGTAAAATAAACTGGCTTGGACAATTTATTGTAAAATAAACTGGCTTGACAATTTATTGTAAAATAAACTGGCTTGGACAATTTATTGTAAAATAAACTGGCTTGGACAATTTATTGTAAAATAAACTGGCTTGGACAATTTATTGTAAAATAAACTGGCTTGGACAATTTATTGTAAAATAAACTGGCTTGGACAATTTATTGTAAAATAAACTGGCTTGGACAATTTATTGTAAAATAAACTGGCTTGGACAATTTATTGTAAAATAAACTGGCTTGGACAATTTATTGTAAAATAAACTGGCTTGGACAATTTATTGTAAAATAAACTGGCTTGGACAATTTATTGTAAAATAAACTGGCTTGGACAATGTCATATTAAGAGATTTGGTACAGATTAAAAGGTTAAAATGCAAAAGAAAAAAAAAAAATATTTGAAGAAGCTGGTGTTGCAAATTTAAACCAAGATAAGGTGAAAAATATTGGCTGAAGACAAAAGTAATCAATAATCTTCAAGTAAACATCACTTCTATTGAGTGAACAATATCGAAAAATAATCGTAGAAATGCATTCAGATCTAGAATTTGTAATCTCCATATCCTGATTCAAATTTTAAGTCATTAGCATTCAACCTGCCCAAATGGACCCTGTAAATATTGGCTCTTAACCCATCGTAACCCGTCCCATGTATATTCTGCCATAATATATAGCAACATCATCACAAATAACAGAGGAAATCATAAAAACTGTGAGACTGACCACAAACTGTGAAACTTTGAAAGCCAATATTTAGGTGTGAATTTGAGTGTGTTCAATGCTAAAGGGTTAAACAATTATTTTGATTAAGTTTCAGGAAATATTATGTTGAGTCATATATAATTTCCACCTTTGTTTATCAACTTTATTCTTCAAAATATTATAATTGCTTCCCCCAAAAAGGATAATTTCTAAACCTAATAATTTTGAATGTTTTCTCAACTAAAGTCTTATTTGTATAAATTGCTAGCATTAAATATTCAATTAGTATTTTTCTTGGTGTCCTCCAATTTTAAAACTAATCTTCAACTAAAATGTATATTTATCAGTAACATCAACTAAAATGTATCTTTATCAGTAACATCTTAAATTGTGTCAGAACTGCTGATCAAATATCATTGCATAGATTGAAACAACCGAAAAGTTGGACAGGTGTCAGATTCAAGTAATCTGTAAAAAAAAAAAAATCAAAAATTTGAATTTTACCAAACACAATGAAGAGCATTTTCTGCCATAGATACTTCTGATTCTCTGTTATCTTTGTTTTAGATTCATAAATTAATGTTTCATTGCCAGAGGCTGTCTTATCCCAAAAGGACATTTTTTTGTGTTAAGCAATGAGAGAAAAACAACTGTTTAAATACTGACAAATGTTTTTTTTTCAGAAACTTCATGTGAAACACATTTTATTTGCTTCTTCTGAATTTTCATAAAGATTTATAAATGATGTACTCGAGTTGATTGATTGCACATAAGTTGGGTAAAATTCGAAGACGCTTCTAAGATTTCCCAAATGTTGAACAAAAAGTCTTTAAACTATGTCTCACATATTTTCTTTTAATGATATAGTACATTTTTTTGTTTTTTTGAAAATTAAATACTCAAATTGATCACTAATTTATTAATACTAATTAAGTTACATTAAACTTTATATATTAAGAAATGGACAAAGTCCGACAATTTATTTATTAAAGACATTTTTATAAAAAAGAACATTAAACTTTATGTAAAAAAAATAGATAAAATTCTGCTATGGGCAAAAGAAATGTTGTAATTATTTAGAGCAGCTCTTTTTTTTAAAAAATTTAATAATTAATTTTTCTATCGTGAATATTGAAGTATTATATTTAGGCTGTCACAAATGAATTTACAGCCTTAAGCAATCTGAAGTCATGACCAAAACTGGCTGTAAATGCTGATGATGGGAATCCTTTTTTAACAAAATGAAAAACAACAATGAACACCGCATCTTGAAACACATTTTGTATTGTTATGGTCTTAATCATTCATTTATTTGCATTTCATTCAGCTATGCAATGGAAACCGAGTAGGTCTAAATTTATATCTTTCTACTTCACAATTTTCTTCTTGCATGTTAGACAAAATGCATTTTTACATAGATTATGAAATTATACTTAGCTCTCAGCTTCATTAATATTAATTTGCAACAAATTGACGAAAGATTTTTTTTTTCTTGTTATTTTCAGTTGATTTGTTTTTAGTTAGATATTTCTTGTTTTTATTTAATTTGTGGAAAAATATGTTTTATATTTTTTTTATATGCCTTAAAATGTTTTTCTCTTAAGCTTTAGCACAGTAACTTTTTTTGTTCTGTGATTTAATTTGGCAATAGTGTTTTTGTTTATTGCAAATGTTCTGATATTTATGTCATTGTATATTGTGGGATATTCAACATATAGTCACATTATAACTTATGTAGATATCAAATGGTATTCCTTGGCTTTAGTATGCACGTCATGCTATGTGTTTTTTTTTTTTTTTTTTCACTCTAAGAGTGTAAACCAGACACACCTTTTATATCTTGTATACATAACCACAACATATGTCCAAGTTCTATATAAAAAAAAATTACTTTTATGTATTAGAGAGTTTTTGTTTTCTCTATATATAAAATGTGGGATTGCTTTTCTGTTGTTATTTAGTATTCGGTTGGCCAAAAAGTGCGTTTGGTTTATTAAATAAATTTTTTTAATAAGAAAACAAACTTTTTGGCCAACCCAATAATAATAAAAAAAGGAGTCTGATTTTACAAAAAATTAAAAATGTATTACCATAATTTAAATATTTTAAAAATTATAATTTTGGTTTTAATTTTAATGAAAGATCATAGAAAGAAAAAGATATCAAAACAAATACTTTGGTGTATTTAAAGCAGGTTTTAGACAGTTTTGAATGCTAGTTTTTATCATCCAAAATATTTGCATCACCTGTGATTATTCTTTTAAAAAATGGTTTGTTTTTATTGCGTTTGAGTAGGGAATTGCAGATGGAACTGCCTTCTATAAATTTTTTTATTCTGTTACATTATCTCTGTGAAGTCTGATATTATGTAACAAATTGTTAAATTTGTCTTTTTGCATTGGCCAATTTACCATTGGAATTTGAACAATAGACAGCAATTTGAAGTAAATTCTATCAAACGAGGAAAAAAATTTTCCAGACATTTCATGACAAGAACAACAGGCTTGCAGCCACATCATCTTGAAACACTGGTTCCCATATGATCACCAAAGTTAAGCAACATCAAGCCTGGTCAGTACCTAGATGGGTGACTGATTGGGAATACCAGGTGCTGTAAGCTTGGATTCACAGGTGGTGTAATGGATAAAGGTTCAGAATTGTTAATCAGAGAGCCGAGTTCAAATTCTAGTAGGGTTCTTTATATTCACTTACATGCAAATACCCTTGGGAAAGGTATAAATGCACTTCTTCTCCCTCCACCTATGGATTAATTAGTAAGAATTCTATCACTAAGCCATTATTATCCCCTCTTCACCAAATTCTTACAGTCTAAAAAAATATTTTCTTGCTTTAAATAACCTGCAGAGGGCTGATAAGCTGTAAAAAAAAATGAAAAATGAATATTTATATTTGAACTTATCACCTCATCTTTGTTTTTATTGTTCCAATGTTTCAACTGTTGTGCCCTCTGACCTTCTTCAACTGTATGTCGATCCACTTAACAATAACCTTTTCATGGTTCATGAACTTGGTGTAATATGTGAGTTCAATCCCTGGTCTGGGTAGTGCAGATCTAGACTCATTGGAAACAGAGCAAGTAGTAAGTGAGCAGTTGTAAATAAAAAAAACTGTACAAGATATCCCCAGACATGGACAAGTAGAATGAGAGCAATCTATCCCTGTAGATTTAAATAAAGTGTTCAGGTTAAAATTCTCTGAATGTTACTTGTATTGAAGGCTGGAGGGTGCACTAGCTGAAAAGTTGTCATGGTGATAATAAAGATGAGGACATTGAATGTAAATAATGATAACTCCTCATCCAGAACATGGAAATAACTCTGAGACTTTCTTAAAATATGTATTCTATTATCCCTGTTTTAGCTTTTTACTATTGATAGTAATATTAAATGTAGGTTGAAATTTAAAGACCTGAACAAAACCTGTTTTAGATAATCAATGTATGCAGTAAGTTATGTTACTATGATTCCCTGTATTATGAGAATTTCATGTTGTCTGAAACTTAAAACATTTGGCAAACACCTTCAAGTAAAGAGATACCCCCACTATTTCTTCTTAATAAAAGTGGCTCAAAAAATTAATGCTTTTTTTGAAGTCTTATTTTAAGACTATTTTGAAGAAATTGAATGGAAAGGAGGCAAAAACATTTTGTCAAACAGGACCATTTTATAGGTTTTGATATACCACAAAACCATAATTTGTTTTTATCTTATATATCTGAACCTATTTATTCATGACACCCAACTATATGGTCACAATCTTGATCAACTCCAGGCAACAAGCTTTAAAGACGATAATTTAGATTATATTTTTGGAACACTTCATTATGGTACAAGAATATTATAGTCTAATGTATTAGGCTTGGTGCTTGGATTTGTTTAAGATCATGCCTGACTAGTTGAACATCATTCATAAATAGTTTAAGTGTTTATGAAACTTGCTTTCCTATTGGTGATTGGCTGGATGTGTTTTCTTTTCTATAGATGATTGGTTGGATGTGTTTCTTTTGTTTCCTGTTTTAAGCTTTGATAATTTATTGTACAGTTTCCAGCAGTAATTTGCTACATGGGTTTTGCCTTTTGTTAGGATGTGCAAGTGGTACAATGAATAGCAACTCAGAATGAGAAATCAGAGAGCCCAGTTTGAATTTGTTACACACACTTAAATGCAAATACCCTTGGAAAAAGTTAGAATCCATCCTTTTCCCCTAGTTGTGGGTTAAATAGTAGTACTGGCATCTGTAAAAGTCATTATCTTCCAAAAATTGTTAATGCAATATTTATTTGTAAAGAAAAAAAAGATTTCTTCTTACAATCAAAAATGTGTTTCAGCTTCAGATAACTTACAAAAGGGTTGATAAGACATTAAAAGAAAACGTCAAAATCCCTTTTGTTATTTTGAGAAGTGACAATGTGGCATTAAAAAGTTTATAGAATTTCCCTAAATTTGACAGAGAACAAAAAATGTACAGCAAATTCTAAGAGATTGAAAATGATTGCATTTTGAGTCTTGTAAGACACATTTTTTCCCTATAAAATATCTCCAAAGACTGCTCTGCATCCTACAAATCAAAAGTCAGTTGATGTGTGTTATAAGTTTGGGGTGTGGGCTGAGTGTCACTTCTCCAGTTATATCTGATTTTGACTCCTTGAAAGTAAAATAAGTTTTGTGTTTTAAAATTAAAATAACATTTTGATAGAAGCTATTTATGCAATTGGGAAGTGGGGATATTGACAAGAAACAAGATTCCTGCTACAGTAACAACATCAGTCTGTCTTACTATTCAACCCATAGCTGGAGGGAGAAGAGATGGATTCATAACTTTCCCAAGGGTCTTTACCCATAAGTGAATGTAACAAACTCAACTGGAATTTGAACTTGACTTTCTGATTTCTTATTGAGACCTGCTCTCCATTGCACCACCTGCACATCCATTTATATACAGGGTGTCCCAAAAAATGTACTCTCTTCTTAAATGGCAATACCTGCAGTGTCTATTGACTTGCAAGCAAGATTAATTGCTAAAATTAAGAAATATTAATGTTTATTGACTTACAAAGAAGATTAATAGTTTAAATTAAATATTAATTGAAATTAAATGCCTTTTTATAAATATTTGAACTCAGTATCTGTCTATATATGAGGTATTATGTACACTATTTACATTATTCGGACTATTGTCCTCATCTTTGTTGCCATATTTATTACAATGTTTTGGCTGTTGTATGCTCCGGCCTTCTTCAGGTGGTTGGAATGTCGAACTGAACCCTTTATTTTGCTCACTGGGGTTCTAGTTCCACGTGCCATGTTTAATAGATGTTAGTTATCAGTTATCTCCTGTTAATTCCCCTCTCCAAGTTCTCCACTGCCTTAATCAGGTATTGAACCTGTCACTTGATGTAACCAACACCTTTATCCACTATGCCATGTGTCATTGAGGACATCTGTGCATGAATTTCTGGATTTTATAAACCTAATGTCATCAGTAACAATTTTTTTCCAGTGTTCATATTGCAATTTTTGCTGTTATCATTGCGTGGTACTAGAACAATCTACCCCAGTGATCAAAATAAAGGGTTCAGTTGGACATTCCAACAACCTGAAGAAGGCCGGAGCATACAACGGTCAAAACGTTGTAATAAATATGGCGACAGAAATGAGGACAATAGTCCGAATAATGTAAATAGTGTGTATTTGAACTCATGACAAAATCAGAAAGTGAGTACATTTTTGGGACAGCCTGTGTTTGTATGTATATCTGTAATAATGGTCACAATAATGTCAGCATTTGATTTGATAACAAGGAATATTTTACTATCTAGTGTCAGAAAAAGAATAATAGCACAACTGTCAATTTCATGCATTTTCAGGCATGTAACAGACTATCCTGGTTTTTTTTTGTTTTTTTTTATAACATAAAAACAGAGTCCATAAAACATTTAGTCTGTGAGTAAATAGTATAACAGGTATTTATTCTTGTATCTATATTTTTGGTTTAATATCCTGTTCTGGTGTGGGAATTTCAAAATGCATAACATTTCTTCCAGGTACAGTCATCAATTTTTTTTTTTTTTTTTTTTTAAAGATCCTGCTTAGCATGCTTTCTAGAATTTTTGCATTTTACCTCTGGTGTTTCCTTGTCATTATCTTCCAATTCCCACAAATACTTAGAAAGTGTTGTACTATTGTCATACAACCTTCTCACAAAAGTTGTTATGGCATGCTTGTTTCTATAGCCTTTCATACAAGATGTGTCAAGTCCTTCTCTAACTTTCACAGTTATCTAATAATCTCTATTGATAGTTATAAATTTGTATGCACCTCCACCCATGGCTATCTCTATTCCTGCAATTGATAGGAATGGGATTAAATTTGTATTATGTGTACACAGATCTTGAATGTTACGTCTTTTTTTTTCTTTGTTGGATTATGTTGTCTGTGCAGCTATAGCTGAATTTTATTGTTTTTTATTAACTATTTTATGGAGCTTACTGGTAATCAGGAAGTGTTTTTTTTTTTCAATTGAGGTAAATCAGATATTCTTTATCTACTACTATTTTTTCTGTTTTTTTTTCTCCTCTTTTTATAGAAACCAAATTTGCTGCATTTCCACTCTTCTTTAATGCCACTTCATGCTCTAGCTTCCTTGATTAAACCCCCTCCCCCACACTTTTACTGGAAATTCCAAGTCACCTATAGATTTTAAAATCTGCTTAAACATGGTTGGTGGATGGTTTGCAATCAGGTTGAATTGCATATGGTCCCCTTTTGTACTAATTTTCTCACTTTGTTGTTGTTTCTTTTCTTTTCAATCTTTTTTGTTTTCTTTTTCTCTCTTCTTTTTCTTCTTTTTCCATTTTTCTTTCTTTTTCATTTTTTTTGCTTTTCTCTTTTTCTTTTCTTTTTTCTTTTTCATTTTTTTCTTCTTTTCTTCCTCCTTTCTTCCTTTGTCTTTCCTTTCTTCTTTTCATAAACAACAAAGTCAAAGGAATTAGTTTTAAGAAAATCACATCCAATAATACTACTTAGGATCTTAACTACAGTAAAGTTTAATTTTCTACTAACTAGAAATTTAGAAAATCATTGGCATTTGCTGACAAGTGATATTCATTACAGATTGTTGCAATCATCATCAAAATTTATTATAGAATCCTGTTTATTTGATTCTATGAATGATTGTTTAATTGTTTCTGTTAAGGCACATTTGCATTTGTTCAATTCCGTCAGAGCCTACCCATGGTTTATACTGCAACTTTATTGAATGGCCCTTAATTATAGTTTCTGGGAGAGAGAGAGCACATAATCTGACATGATCAACAGTTTCAACAAGGCCTGTACACTAGTATCCTTGGTCATGATGACTTCTGAGTTTGTGCTAGATAGCACAACCCTTTCATGGATTCTGAACAGTTCTGTCTAACCAATTTAATCCCTAAATCTAGGGTCTCCCTAGAGTGTGGCTTTCAAGCAGCACCATATGCAGTGATTGTCTCTCCATGACAATATTATCAAGAAGTCACCTCCTGGACAAATCAAACATGGTAAGATTTGAACCCTTGAACCCTCATTGATGATGACTTGTAACTTTCTGCAAACACAA